AACCATAATACCACAGCACTATATTTTCAGAATTCTTAAGTGAAAGACAATTTTGCAACGCTGTATCATGCGAGCTTACACCAAGCATGTGCATTGACGAACTGTGCTGACCGCTCCCTGCTGCCCAAATGAATTGCTAATATGACATGCAATGGATTAGTCACATGCTGTAATACCTAAATAGGTTCAAAATGTTGGCAAGATCGTAATGAAGCAACAAATTGCCTTTGAACACCCCCTGCACCATGGGTGTAAGTGTTTCTATCAGTTTGCCGGCATCGCTACGCTGTCATGTTCAAAAGCAAATCTAAAGACACAGGTAGCTATCAATACATCGCATTTTATTGGGAGTCGATATATTTAAAGAATACCAAAACGATGTTCTCTATCAAAAGTACGAACCTCGCATGCACGCTCCCCGTCACATGAAGATCAATACAAACCACAGGCCCGCACCACCAGTGATCACACCCTTTTCGAGCGCCTGATTCGCACTCTAATGTCGAATGAGTGTAATCCGCACACTTGCACAACCCGCGGGACTATCAAATTGCAGGTTTCTCTCACAATTTCCGCACAGATTTTCGGTTATTGCACCACATTTCACCGTGAGCTTCCTTCAAAAGTAAGTCCCAACGGGGGCTCATGGTAATACAGCTCAGGAGGTTGTATTTTTAGGACGCAATTGTTTGGTCACGATTTGAATTGGCCTGTAATATGTGTAAAATATTTTGTAAGATATATTTCTAAAATTACTATAATATTTTTATAATCCTATGATGCCTTGCTAACCCACAGACCCGTGCAAGATTCTTTGCTCTGGTACACAGGGCGCCAACTCGGCTGTCTGTAAGAATTCCGCTAGAAGAAGATGAGAAACGCCGGCGGAAGAAAAAGAGTCAGATTTGCGGGTCGCGTCATCTTTTTGATAACGTTCGGGAGATCGCCGTTATTTTTTTCGGTGCTGTAGTTTTTTTGCAGACTGTGGCGTTCTTTTTTATAACATTGACCTATGACCTAGAAGTAAGGAAATATGCCCCGTTGGTGACGAGTACTGCGCAACCCGAAAGTGCTCACGCTTACGTTGGCGACACGCATTCAGCAGCGAAATCTTACTTACAGCCAATCACCTTCCGCGGATTGTATCATACGTGCCGCATCATCGCTCTTGCGAATGTATCAGTGGCCATGCTCTTTTGACCATAAGCTGAAAATAGCTTGTAATATAACGGCAATCGTATGACGTTTCTATGACGACATCAATGTCCAGGTGGCCTTGAAGTAGTCTCCCAATAAACCCTTTCGCACTTTTGTGGGCGCATGGCGCAGAAACCAGAGGGTTTTGGGTCTCAAAAAGAGCGTGGCCCTGAACTGCATCAAAAGGTCCTCAAAATGGCTGTTCCAGTTCAAAACCCCATGTAGAGGTGGAACGTTTCCTTTAAGATGGGGTCATGAAATGCAAACATTATGTCACTGTTTCTTAGCCGGGCGAAAGCTGCGCGAGCTGCGGGCTCACCAGGCTTAGGACCAAAACCGACGTCTGACCTGGCGGTAACGTAAGATGCGTCCCAGACCCCGTTTTCAAAAAACAGAACGACTGCTCGTGAATAAATTGTTCTAAAGTACGTCCCCGCTCGTTGTTGTCATCACAACCCCAGACGGTGTGGTGTGCGTTAAAATCTCCCAAGATAACCTAAGGCGGAGGGAGCTCAGTCATCAAATGTCTGAGCTGCACCAGTGGAAAACTGAGCCCCGGTGGCAAATACACTGAGCATAGGGTTACAAAGCGATAATTAAAATGCACACGTGCAGCAACAGCTTAGAGTGGGGTTTGTGGCCTCAGCTGCTGCGCAGGCACACTGTGGTGCGTTGCCAACAGCACACCATCGTGCACCACAGTGTCTGCTAGCACATCTTTTCTAAATACTGAGTAACCTTTGATGATGCAGTGAGCATCCGGCGACAGCTTCACCGTCTGGAGGCAGACAGCAACCGGACAACAGTGACTGAGCACAGCGCGTAAATCCTGGTCCGTAAGCCTCTACAATTCCATTGTAGAATCACCAGCATAAAACTGGTTAAAAATGAAGTTCAAAACTACGAAGATAAGAAAAACATGGGTTGCCTGAAAAACTGTTCCAGATTGTAAAAAGAACTAAGCTGACTAGAAGTGTTCCGTTGCACTAGACGAAGGGCTCAACTCCTTGAAGTGTACCCGGGGGTGCACGCATCCACTTGGGCGCAGCCTCCTGTCCGCAGGACTCGAACGACCTTCATTGGAACCTGACTGAAATTTCAGCCGCGCTCGCAGCCTTCCCTCGTCCGTCGGCGAGCTTGTCCAGGGCAATCCGCGCTTAGCGGGGCGGCCCGGGGTGGTAGAAAGATTGACCGCCTCGGCGACGACGGCGGAGTCGCTGGAGGCGGCAGGGACTGAGCAGGCGCAGCGGAAGGCAGAGGAGGCGTTGGGTACCCATTCAGGGCGGAGTAAGCGGCGGCTCAACGCGCCTCCCAAGCGTGGAAGCGCTCCCTTCCGAGGAGGATGGCACCCCACCAGTCCCCTCAGAAGAGAGCGCACCACCAGCCACCGTCGCCACCGACGCCCCAGCAGACCCCAAGGGAGGAGACTTCCCGCCTCCCCCGCCGGGGCCGAGGAATCGGTGGCCCCCGGGGACCGCCTGGCCGCCCTCACCTGCTCCACCGGATGCGCTCGCCTGGCCTCGCGGGCCCTCTTCTTCACCTCGCCGCGCCGCAACGCCTCCACCACTGTCTCGCCGGGTAAAGTTCGGCTCGTAGTTGTTGAAGGAGACGCCGTGGTCGGCGCCTCTCTCCCGGAACGTGCCTGGTTTGCTCGGGAGGAGCGCCTCTCTCCGGCCCCGACCAAAGTTCACTCCTTGCCCTCCAACGTCTCTCCAACCGGGGAGGCCGGCGGCATAGGGGCCGCCGGCGCCGCAGCTACCGGCGATGCGGCGGGCGCCGCGGTCGCGGATAAAGCATCCGAACCCGCTGCCGGTCTGCAAGTCAACCCAGATGACTGGAGAAGTGCGATAAACTGCGCCAGGTTCATACGGCCTGAGCTGATCCCGCGATGAACCGCGTTTGAGTGGGAACGAGTCACCGCATTTGCGTAAGACACTGTGGGATGTGAGCTATTGTAAATCTCCCGTGCCTCTCGGAAAGAGATGTGCCGGGAGCACCTGATGGAGATAGTTTCTTTCTCTCGAGAGTACGCCGGACAGGCACGGTCAAATGTCGCGTGCGGGATCTGGTTTTTGTCGCAATTCACACATTTCGGTCGCACAGCGCTGCGGTTCTCGCTAGTGCGGTCACCTTCAGTACATTTCCCACGAGGCGGTTTGATCTTGCAGTAGTCTTTTGCATGGCCAAAGCGAAGACATCGAAAACAGCGCGTAGGGTTGGGAGTGTATAAACGAACTTTCACCTTCACATAGCCGACGACTATTTCTGAAGGAAGATCCACACGGTTGAAAGTGAGGATGATATTGTTTGTTGGGACCAGGTGCTCTCCTCTCCTGACCCTGATCCGACGAGCTTCCACGACGCCGAAACCAGACAGGCCATCCACGCTATCCTCACCACTGACACCCTCCAGGTCAAAACAGTTAATAATCCCGCGATAACAGTTTTTCGTTTTGTGAGCCGTCACCGTGATGGGCAAAGTGGCGTCTCGCCTTCAATCTTTATCTCTGACCGTGTATGTGACTGAGCAGCCTGCCCGGCAGTTCCCGGTACTCCCACTCTCCCACCTCTAGTCCGTTCCAACGGGGTGAAGCGGGAATCAGTCCGTGGCAGCGGCATTTCAGCGATGCCAGAAGGACCGTGTCGCCCCTCGGCTGAAGCAGAGGGACGGTCGTACATCGTCGTCAGCCGAGCCGTCGGAGCTGAAGTGTCATTTCCGTCGGGGCTGGTTGAATGAGAATCCATGCGAGTTTTGTGAAGCATTCGGCACTGGGGCTCCCCGCCCACCACGGAGCCCAACTGGGGGACGGTTCAACACTCCCTTGGGAGGTGGTCGCCGCCAGGGCTATGCCGGTGCTATACGGGCGAACGACGCCTCCCACACGGCCAGGTGTCACCAGGGAGACCCCTCCCCGTCCTGACCGTGGGTCAGCGCCGTCTCCCCCTGGCCCCTTAACCCGCTGCGCACGACCAAGCGCCCCAAGCGGAGACCCGCACGGAGCACCCAGCTGCAGCGCGAGCAACAAGCCGCTAGACCCGTGTGGGGCCCCACGGGCCCCCGCACCCCCGGATATCTTGGCCGAAGTGAAGTGTTGGGACGCGTCGCGACTGATCCGCACGACGCGCCCCTCAGCCACTAGGATCCGATTAACCCGGGGATGCGGGCGAGGGGGCACGGCGACCCCGGTAAAACGAGGATTAGGAGTGATGAGTGACCTGGATGCGGGAAAGCAGGTCGTGGGAAGGAAGTGGGCGTGACAAGGAGCGGGAGCTCACGTGCCAGCAGGGTCGCCACGCCCTGAGAGGAACAGCTTGCGCTGTCCACCTGTTACCGGAGATGGGGCCCGAGGGGCGCTAGTTCCCTACATTGGCCAAAGCCGGTGCCCCTGCGGGGCATGGCCACTTCCAAGGTACAAAAATTGTCAGCAAAATTTGGTTGGGCGTTAGTCTGAGCATGGTCTCTTGCTCTTGATAACGTTATGTTTTCGCCATCACTGGTGTGCCACTCGAATACACATTTCAAACTGTCGCTCAGATACGTTTTCGTCACAGGAAAAAGACACTGCTTGCACCACTTAGATCATTGTTCATGTGTGCATAATATGAAAAAAAATGAGACCACCCTGCCAGTGCGTTCACAAACGTAAATTTCACCGTTTTTAAGCAACAAAACTCTCATTCAGTGCTCCCTGACACGTAGATATGCATGCTGGCGTGTACAATACAACCTATGGGTGCTGGCCGATGAGAAATCGTGCGAAACCAGTGGTGAATACCGAGAAATAATCATGTGTCGGTTACAGGTGATGGTGTCATCGATGAAGAAGAGTTTGTGTACGTGCTCACCGACTTCGGCGTGAGAGAACGATTTTCACGCCAGGCCTGGAAAATATTTACGCTGGTAAGGGTAGCACGCTGGGAAGCATGTCTATTGCTCGAGAGCAAACTGACGTAAACCACCAGTGTCTTCAGATAGTCATATGATTCAGTCGCTGCTGCCTAGGCTTCCGTCTCCAAGCGACTAAAGGGCAGTCTGGCCGTGATGACTTGCCTGCACTGGTTGTGAGCTCCACCGTCTTGTGACACCTGCTCCGTTGTTGCAGGGGAGCTCGGAGACCGTCACGTTCGAGTACTTCCGGCAGCTGGCCGAGGAGTACTACATGAGTAATGATCCGGCCGCCGTCGGCAACTTCCTCACGGGAAAGCTGGACTTTGTGTCTGGCGAATACGCCAACATGTGAGCAGTCGATCTGCGGCGCGCGCGGAGTGAATCTGGCTGGGGGTGAACCGCGCGGAGGACCGGGGTCACGAGGCGGCGCTCGGGTCACCTACTCGCGCTGATGGTCGGTGTCCGACCACAGGATAAACCCCCTTGGGCGATGTTAGCCTGAGCAGAAGCGTGACAGAGTTTGTTGCGATGATGTGCGTCCGTACAATCGAATGAGGAGAGGAATCTGAGATTCTGAGGTGCAGCGTTTGGTGCCTTGGTAACCGCTTCCATGGTGCTGAAGATGGAACCTAATTGATGAGACGTATTTTAAGCTGCTCTGGAGAGGCGTCCTTCCGTCCTGGCACCCAGGGACCACAACCTCAGGCATCGCAGCGATGCACTTGCTTGGGTCGGTTTTGCGGTGGGAATTCAAATTTCCCCCCTCGTGGATCAGTTATTTTTGCCAGAAATTCTTTGCTTTGTCTTCCGTTTTATCACGCCCGAAGTTCTAACGATGTAGTGCGAAGCTCTTCCATTTTGGACGCCCGTCAAGTAGCCGTGTATCCATGCGTTCTGCTCGGTGTATTGTTCAGTCTCCTAGGTCCTTTTGCAGGATAAGATTCATGGCATGTCGTGCTCAGTTTGGCCTGTCTTGATCCTGATTAACATGATCTGTAACAAAAGTGCATTTTTGTTTGCGTAACGGCGCCGTGCCGTTGTTAATCGATATTACTTAAGCTCTGGCCTGATCGAGGCTTACTGCTTTGGGAACTATCTTACCTTAACGGTGATGGCTGAGTAAATTCACGGCATCTGGGCAAGAGATTTGATATGAATTTGATGTTACAACTTGGTCCATCCTGCTCTTTTGCCGACAGTTTGGCTTGAAGGGGTTACTGTCGGAGTATCGATTCTACCATCTGATGTCGTGACAGTTGTCCAATAACAATGTAATGCAATGATTGACGAGTGCATGGCCGCAGTCATGTATTTGTCCTTCTTGCGATTCTTTACACTCGTACGTGGCATAAACTCATTACAAGCGAGAGCAGAATAACTCACTGTCACAACACAGCTTACTATTAGTTCGAGTATGCCACATCATCCATCAGTTGAACCATCAGTTCAAGTATGCCTCATTAACAAAAATGAATAAATAGAGTCCATAAATAGGCAAACAATTTAAGAACACTCACGAAGTGCAAAAAGTCTAAAAGGACGCGTTCCTTTTCGTACTATGCACATAGTACCAACCTTTCGTACCACGTGCGAGGCTATCAAAAGCATTTCCTGTCTCCATGTCACCCGCGCCGTCATTCTACGCAAGTGCCATCCGTTCACGTCCTCAAGCCGGTCTGTTTCGGTGCCAAGATTGGCCCTGATGCCGCCTTCTCTGCCCGGCGTGCCTCAGAAGGCGCCGCCGCAGGCTCGCTGACACTCCTCCCGCGTCTCGAAGTTGTTGGCGTTGCCGTTGCAGCCGCCGAAGAAGAATGCCTCGCAGGATCTGGAGACGAGGCTGAAGCCGTACCGCTCGAAGGCGGCCTTGCACGGGCCCTTGACAATCGGGAGACGGCACGTGTCGTCTGGGCTCCCTGCAGCGAGGGCGGGCAGCGTCGGACAGAGACAAACAGTACACGTCTGTAACGGGCGGTGGGGATTAAGTTGGACGTGTTGGGATGGCACCGGGTGGGGCCCGGCTTCGCCAGGTAAGGTCGGACGGAACAAATAATATCGAAGATCGGTGGAAAGAACTAGGCAGCTATGGACAGCTGTGAGTAGTTTTAAAAGGGTCTGACATGCGGGATATACGTTTAGCGGAGTCGAATAGTGGTGGTCCTTGCATGACGGATTGAGCAGTGGTGATGTCAGACAGCATCAGGTGTCGGACAGCGTCGCAGAGAATTCGGGGGTGATACACGGCGTCAGGATAGGGCCAGACAGCGTTGGTGGTAGCCACGGCCAGCGGTGGCCGCCCGGTCCGCTGATGGGGGCGCCGGTGGGAGCCAGCCTGGGATGGGGGCTACCAACCCGCGGGCTTGAACTCGTTTGAGGTCAGAACAGTGGTAGGCAAATACTGGGGCAAAAGGTGGGAAAACAGAGTATCGCTCGTATGTTTGCTATTTCCACAGAACATCGTGCTCAACATAAAGCAGAGGCGAATACTGCATGCTGGGGATTAGTGAGTGGCGAGTATGGAGCTGCTCTCCGCATATGCCGACAGCTAAGCAGTACATATGTGCAAGAATTGAGACGGTTTTTGGAGCACACACCGTGACATCAGGGTTTGAGTCAATAGCGTATGTTCCACACACACACACACAACTATATCGTGCAGCCATGACCCTGTTTTTCGTAAACGCCAACAGCTGAAACGCTATGCCTTCGGTTTGCTTTTCGTGGTCGTAAAAAGCCAACTGCGAATTCGTTGCACCTTGCATGAAAACGGGCCCATAGCGGCCAGTTACTGATGGTCGGTTCGGAGTCATTTCAAAGGCCAGTATTACGTGTGAAACACCGGTTGCTTGCTCCTTGGAGGTGATTTCGACGTGCGATAGCGTGTGATCAGGTCTAGCAAGCTGCAAGGTCTCGTTAGAGCCCCAGGATGGGTATTGCTTTTTCTAAAGGGTATGCCGTAACATTTTCCCTGTTACATGTATTCAACTTATTGTGCTTTAGGAAAAGTGTATACGTAAAAAATAACAATAATCCAAGGAAAATGGGGTAAAAGAATCAAAGGGCCCGAGGCTCGCAAACCGGTTGATTTGTGCACAAAAGTGCGCTCCACTTCTCTTCCATCATTAATCCTGTCATGTGCAGCTCACAGCTTTTCAAACCCAGGAAAGAGCAATGGAGTATCTCTGAATCCAGATGAGTCACACCCGCCACCCCCGCGTGATACGGGAGTAAGCCGAGGCGTTGAGCGGCCAGCTCTGCTCCCAGCCAAAACCGGCCCAGTCTGGTTGTGTCGACACAGCGGCGGGTCCGATGACGGTGCGGTAGTCGGCCTGACACTTCCGGTAGCGGGACGGCGGCCGACAGCGACCCGGAAGCCGAGCGTGACCTCGCCTCTGCCCCGCACGCTTTGGGCGAACACGCTGCACACGGAGTACGGGGCCCGCTGGCAGCTGCCGGCGGCGGCGAGCGCGGGAACTACGCTCTAATGGGCGCACCAGCCTCCAAAAATGTTTGCCGTTTGGACCGCAGCCTTGCAGCGTAGAACCGGAACACACGGCGAAGCCGAGGGGCGCGCTCCTGGCAATGCGAGCGGTCGCCGGTGGATCGGACTCCGTGTGTGATGCGTGCTCAGACCCACTCATGCCTGGATCTTGTGATGACTTACAGCAAATCACGACAATGCGTAGAGGTGCGGCATGTGATCCGTGCAAACACACATGTGTGGCTGTGACCATGAGTTTGTGACTGTGGCTATAGCCGTGCGATTATGCGTGTACATAAGTGCATGCAGACGTGGACACATTAGTAGGCAGACGAATGAGTAGTGTCTGTATTTGTTGCAGGCACATGTTACGCAGTGCTGTGAAATGCAAGTGAGAAGGGCTGATCAGTAGCATCCAAGCTATTGGCCCTGAGCACATACTTACACTAAGCCGAAACAAATGGAAGAAATAGAAGAATATCTAATCGGACAACCTCCGATAAGAACCACTAGGAGACGGGCATGCGCATTAACTACGTGAATCCACTGGAAAGCCGACGTGCCGACGATCACTCCCAGAGTATGCGAACGGAAGAATACCAGAGAAACGCGGAAGAGAACGAACAAAGCCCCCAACGGCAGGCGTTCGGCGCGCCAGTGGCCTCCCGGGGGTCGGTCATCTACCTGCGCAAGAACACTCCGGGCAGCCGGTGACAGGGCTGGGCCGGCGGCTGCAGGAAGCTTCACACTGGTCCAGCTCTGCACACCTCACCTCGATGCCCATCAGGGGGGCGCACCGCGTCCGGCACTCCTCCTCCGACCGAAAGCTGCAGCATATGGCGCACGGGTCACCGCCGCGACCTGAGCGCACCCAGCAGCGCGGAAGGGGGGGGGGGGGGGGCGTGCAGCTTTGTGAGCGGCGACTCCACGAGTTTGGCGTCGCTAAGGTTCCGACAGCTGATGACGTCATACTCGCTGAGATCACCGTCCGGTCATTGCCCGAGTGTCTGATGTGTACGGGTGCCCGACCGTCATAAGCGACGTGGCGGCCGGCGAAGGAGTTTCCCCGTCATCTGCGGCTGAAAACCCCGTTATTTTGTAACGGAGCGGGACCCTTCTGTAACTGGCCTCCAATAACTCGTCCTACGTCATACCTGTGTGATATCAAACTGATGTTATGATTAAACAATGCATGGTTATGAACTGGTGGCACTGCCTTCGTTGCACGATGGTGCCTTGAACAATCCAAACTATGGCTCTGGATGGGCGGGATGCGTGAACCCAAAGCATGGCCACGAAAGCAAGCCTCTCCGCATAGACCCTGACGCGCGACACCCAGCCCTGGACTTCTCTCACTGCGAACTGGCGCAAATGATATAAAAGTAACCAAGCCCTGTGATCAGGCCATGGTTTTGAGCGTTCCAAATCGTCCCCAGCCGGGCCAGACGACGGGCCGGTGTCTCACTTGTTGGCAGTTCCACCGCAGCCGCCCCAAGGGAACGAGCGGCAACGGGCCTCGTTCTGATCAAAGGCCCAGCGTTTGATGGCACCACGACACACCCCGGGCTGCACGGGCTCTAGGCAGGCAGTCTCGTTGACCTCTCCCGTCCTGGGCGTGGCCGCCGCGTCGCCCGACCCCACTGGAACAAGTAACGGCCAGGTGGTACGTAACAGCTAACAGCCTCGCAATGCATCCTCCGCCTCATAGCTGGCCCTGTGAAAGCGCAATCCAACAACACCTCTCAATCGGGCGCCAGGTAAGGATGGGGCTAAGGCTAATTGCCACGCTGGTTCATAACCGCGTCATAATGTTTGGTGTGCCCAGGACTGATAGTCTTTCTGGTTGTTACTTCCCTAAACAAATTTGGGTAACGTGCACATAACGAGAAAGTTTTTTGTTCCTTATCTACCTTAGGTGTTGCAAATGACATGGTTGATACATATGTCGCCAATGTCATGATTCGTGACGGGAAAGGTATTTAATGTTTTCATTGAGCTACGGCCTCGTTTCAGTGTTATTCTCACGGAGAGCGCATGAAATATACCCGCGTTATCCAACATCTTATCATAGCCGCTTCGCAAATCTGCATTGACTGGAACAAAACAGATATTGTTATTCTGAAAAAGACGACTACAATGTCTTTCAAATTTGATGTTTTCAAATATACCAGATGCAGAGCGGAGACAATGTTGACATTCTTGGCATGTTTTATTCATCCAATTATGGCGTAGCCATATGTCCAGAAGTGCTGCCATATTCAAAAGTATCACTTTAAGTGCCGTCGATTGGAAGCGTACCATAATCGTGCTGTATTGGCTCGTGTTAAAGCCCAAATATCGCAGAATTGCTTCGATATAAGCAGTCGACACTCAACGACAAGACAATATATGAACCATAACGCAGTAAGACAACCTCCTACGCGTTTAATTCCAAGCTGAGTGTTGGCGGAGCCCGGTTCTTGTGAACTATGGTGGTGCATGTGAACTATGGTGGTGAAATCCGTGGGTGAAACTAGCAAATGAGAACGAATGGGCCTTTGCCACCACGTGCAAAATCATGCATGATAAAAAGTAGCTCCGTCTCGCTTGTTATTAATGGCACGCCCACGACTTATTTGAGAATGTATGCGTACAGCAAGTCATAAAATGCACGAGCTACAAAGTTTGTAAATGGTCATCCTCGACACCTGCATCTAAGTGTGTCAAATTTTGAGCCTTGATCGCAACCTAATTGATAAAAGCTGGCGAGAAAACAGGCCGTCAGCTGTCCCGGCAAGATGCCACTAAACATAGCGGACGCTTTTCTGCGTATAAGTGGGCTTAAAGATATTCATTGAAACTCCTCGCGGCAGAGATGATTGAAGATCATCTATAGGTTATTTCAAAATGGCGTTTCAGTAGGGAGGCGAATGTCAACTGATGTACCACACAAGCATCATGACTACTTTGCGAAACCGGCATGGAACCCGACACCATCCGCCGGCATTGCCAAAATCTTAACAGAAAAAAATGGCATGCAGCAGCGATACCAGCTGCTGCACGTCGTTTTTGAGCAATGTGGCCATTGCAGTGGTGGACAACCACACAAAATACGGATAAGGATCAAACGCTGGGCGCTTCTCGGTCAGTGTTTACCGAAGAGCGTGAAACCCAGCCGGCTCGCATCAGACTCCGGCGCGAAAGGCCAGCGACATCGACGGGGTCGTGGAGTCCGATGACACGATTGCGGCAGGCCGCGGAATCCACAGGTATGTTCCAGTTTGACCTGATAAGCAGCGGCTAGTGACGGTCCAGGCAGCTCACCCCTGACGTATACCCCGTCAGAGCCTCTCCAGTCCTGACGTCATCTCAAAACAAACCCAGCCGCCGCGTCAGCCGGCCGGTGACCTGACGACCACGGTCCCCGTCAGCCGGCCGGTGACCTGACGACCGCGGTCCCCGCCAGCCGGCCGGTGACCTGACGACCACGGTCCCCGTCAGCCGGCCGGTGAGCTGACGACCACTGTCCCCGTCAGCCGGCCGGTGACCTGACGACCACGGTCCCCGTCAGCCGGCCGGTGACCTGACGACCGCGGTCCACGCCAGCCGGCCGGTGACCTGACGACCACGGTCCCCGTCAGCCGGCCGGTGAGCTGACGACCACTGTCCCCGTCAGCCGGCCGGTGAGCTGACGACCACGGTCCTCGCCAGCCGGCCGGTGAGCTGACGACCACGGTCCCCGTCAGCCGGCCGGTGAGCTGACGACCACGGTCCCCGTCAGCCGGCCGGTGAGCTGACGACTACGGTCCCCGTCAGCCGGCCGGTGAGCTGACGACCACGGTCCCCGTCAACCGGCCGGTGAGCTGACGACCACGGTCCCCGTCAGCCGGCCGGTGAGCTGACGACCGCGGTCCCCGTCAGCCGGCCGGTGAGCTGATGACCGCGGTCCCCGCCAGCGGCCGGTGGGCTGACGAGGAGCCGTCGTCGTCAGCCGGGCTGGTGCGGACTCGGTCAACGCAGCTTGGCTGGCGCAGGGTCCGAGCTCCTTCTCCCCTCCCCCGGCCCCACGACGACCTCGACCGGGAGCGAACTGCAGCGTGGCGGGCCGGCCCTGGCACCTGGCGGAAGCAGCCACTTCCGGGGCGGCTGGCGCGGGGGAGCTCCCTGCCTGACCGGAGGCAGCGCGGCGGGGGTGTCGCTGGTCCGCTCATCACGAACGGCTCGAACGATGGTCACCCTTCAACACTGGTGCGCTAGTATTGTGGCAGCTATGCTGCCGGTGCCATTCGAGGTATTGACAGAGAAGCCCCTGATTTGACACTGGGAGTGCCGCCCTGCTGCAATCGACCACGAAAGGCAAAACGCCTTTAACACTTGCTTTCCAGACAACGCTAGAACGGAGTTCGGGCGAGCGGCTAAACATCCCCCGATCTACTCGTCATGGAAACTGTGTGTGGCGTGAGCTCGGGCGAGCGGCTAAACATCTCCCGATCTACTCGTCATGAAGACTGTGTGTGGCGCGAGCTCGGGCGAGCTGCTAAACATCCCCCGATCTATTCGTCATGGAGACTGTGTGTGGTCGATTGGTAAAACCCACCTTGTGAAAAATGTCGGCACTGATCGGATGTTTTTGTATTTCAACTGCGTGCTAGGGGCGGTCGCTCCGATGAGCTGAGTCAAACAGGGATCCATGAAAGCTGCCTCCAGGCCTAAAGAAATGCGAACAGATTTCGAGATTAACTGGCCGAGTGAGAATGCTCTCGACCAAGATTATGAGCAAAAACTAAATAGGCATTGAAGTCAATGAAGACCAGCTACCAGCGTCTCATAGCAAACGGATCGGCAGCAGAACAAGGAAGAAATCTAGCCCCTATCCGGCCCAAGGGAACGGTGAGGCTCCTATTTTCCACACTGAATTTAGACCACAGGTCTTTAGCACCCTGAAAAATGCTACATATCAGAACGGTTGCAGGTGGAATTGTGCGTGATTCTACATAAAGGAGCATTTATATCCAGTGTATTTTTCTCACCTGAGGACCATTCACCGCAAATGGCCAGGGTCTTATCATCCACAGCTTACCGAAAAGAGTTCCGCGTGGGCTCTCTGATTCACGCGGGTTACTAACGATGGTGTGTTTTTGAACAGAATATGTGTAGATGAAAACTGCCCCGGGCAAGCAGGAACGGTTCAGGATAGCTCCTAGCTTGAATACGTTGGTGGGCCGAAGACCAAACTTGTCCGTATTTGTTTTGACTTCCGCATAGCTGAAGAGGTTTCATCACTGCTCTCAGTCATTTTTGGCTGTTTTTTGTGACTCAGATTCAACGCCGAGGGGACTGGTGCAAACATCGACGACTGAGACACTTGCTAAAGGACAACTGGGCTCGATCCACTCTACGGTTCACTCGATCCACTCTACGGTTCACTCGATCCACTCTACAGTTCACTCGATCCGCTCCACAGTTCACTCGATCCACTCTACGGTTTACTCGATCCACTCTACGGTTTACTCGATCCACTCTACAGTTCACTCGATCCGCTCCACAGTTCACTCGATCCACTCTACGGTTTACTCGATCCACTCTACGGTTCACTCGATCCACTCTACGGTTCACTCGATCCACTCTACAGTTCACTCGATCCGTTCCGCGGTTCACTCGATCCACTCTACGGTTCTTTCCTTTTACTGCACTTGTCTCCTTTAATGCTTCAAAGAATGTGTATGTGGAAGCAGATTCACCTCGGGACTTGATTAACATGTGACACAGCAACCTTTCAAATTGAAAAAGACTGACGAGCAGGGATCAAAATCACGTCCATATTTGGACGGCTAAATGCCAAGCGATTTGCAGTCACACTCTTCGGCGAAGGAGGGAAATGTCAACCACCCCACCAAGAGTATAGGTCTGTTGCGCCACTGGTCACGCGCTATTGAGTACATCCACGAATTCACCTACTTTAACGTTGTAAATGATTGATATCAAATCTGCACAATTAGAAAATGTGCTGACTGACTGCAAGATGTGGTCGAACGGACCATTTAGAATTGCTGACGGATTCCAGCACTGGTCGACATATGCTAGTTACATCTGCAATAGACCAGAAAACGGTGAATGTCACGTTCACAAAACTGGCCTCGAATACAACATACTGTGAGCTAAACTGCAAGAGTCTGTGGCATGGAATCTGGGCAAGCGTTAAGTTCGGTTCATTGTAACCAATATCGATCAAAATATTTCCGTTCTTGGAAATACTACGGTCACAGCTAGCAAAATTATTGACTATTCCAGTCTCAAATTCTGTTGATATATTAAGAGAGAAGGAGGAAGGGTTTGTGTGTGTGTGTGTGTGTGTGTGTGTGTGTGTGTGTGTGTGTGTGTGTGTGTGTGTGTGTGTGTGTGTGTGTGTGTGTGTGTGTGTGTGTGTGTGTGTGTGTGTGTGTGTGTGTGTGTGTGTGTGTGTGTGTGTGTGTGTGTGTGTGTGTGTGTGTGTGTGTGTGTACCTATGTGTCTGTGTTTCCACTTAAGTTGACAGCGCGTCAGGACCTTGTAGCTGCCTGCTACCTCACACCGAAACTTCCAGGTGACACCGGGGCTGCCGACTTTGGGCGCAACACCTGGCTGCAGCTTTGAGTCGCCGAGAGGTATAATCCAAAAACTACTCTCATGTGAAAAGCGTACGCTTTTTTAAGATGAACCAACACGAGCAGAATACCGCATATGCATTGTGTATAGGCTTTGTATTAAGTAAGGCGCAAAAATGAGATACACTTTGAGAATGCTGTCCATTGAGATTTGGTCGCTGATTGCTGTGAATTGATGATGCAGCTGTATGTATAGTTCGCAGCGTAAAGGCTGTTCTAACTCCGCATGACAATGAGACAACTCTACATAACATGTCACGAAGATAGCCGACAGCTGCGCAGCAGAGCTGGGTTTTGATGAGCATTATGCATTTACACCCGGCCTCAAAAATCATTGTCAGTAACGATAAGTCGTTATCATTTTATCATCGTGATTATTTCATGAAAGGAATGCGACGCATGTCTTCACGCCGCTGTTATGGAGCACCATCAGTGCATTGGCCTTAAAAGAGCTCTGTGGCCGTGGCGCAACCGGAATTCAACAACTCAACAACAACAGCCCCACGTGGAAGCCTAAGGCGTTAACCACTTGGCCTTCGGAGGTGGTCCCGAAGACCAGAAACACGCTACGTGCGACTCATAACGACAGGCAACGAGGTGATGTTACCATTAACGAATTATTCCAAAACTTTAAAAGGTGCACACGAACAGCTGCGATATAACCCCGCTATCGTAATTGCACCGACCTGGGTTACGTTTTCCAATTCCAATAATCGTTTACCGGGAATGGGTCCTCTTGTGAAAAGGCTGTGTTTAGACGGGTATTTATGGCCGCTCTTTCCTCGGTAGCTGGCAAAGAACATCGTCGTCTGTTGAGCGAGCCAGAGCCCGGCCTATAGCCGACATAGACAGGCCTTGCTGCAAACTGAGCAGAGAGCAAGCCAAACCGACTGAATGCTCTCACCACGTGTTTTGATCGGGGAAGGGAGACAAATGCAAGAGAGCAGATCTAGAAAAGCCTCTGACAGGAGTCCGCCCTGCCGTCTTGCTCCGGTCTCGTCTCGCCGGTCGTCGAGCCGGCCGGAGCACGGCTGGCTGGCACTCACCGAGCACGGCATCAAACGCGTCCTGCAGCGAGGGGTAGGCCGCGGCCAGCCCCACAAGCGCCATGAAGATCGCCAGCCTGCACATCTCGAGCTGCGCCCTGTCTGTCTGCCTGTATGTCTCTCTGTCTGCCGGCGCCGGAGCGGGTCGAATGCGGTGCGCCGCCGTCGGGACCGCTTTATAGTTGGGCCAGGCGCTGGGTAACCCGGCGTGACGTCACCAGCCGGGCCGAGCCTTCAGCCGTCGCCGCCACAGTCGCCGCCTGTCCGTTCGCCCAACATCACGCCACGCACGTATGGCCGCCGGGCATGCGTGCACGCACTGCCCTCCCCTCCCTCCCCCCTCCCCCCGGCCGAGAGGTGTCCCTGGTGCAGCGGCGGCCCGGAAGCCGGATGCGTTTGGGGCCGCATAGGCTGGGAGGCCCGCCCGACCCCGAGAGGTGGCGGTCGCCGCGCGGCCCCACGACGCCGCCGGTCGAGACGGGCCGGCGCCGCTGGCCCTCGTAAAGAGCCGGCTCCAAGGTGTGTGCTGACGTCACCCGGCACGGTAATGAGCGGCGGCGATCTGTGTCAGAGGCGGGCCACAGAGCTGCCGACCGCGCGGCCGAGCCGCCTCTGGGTCACCCATCTGCTTACAGTCGGGCTGGAACACAGAGCCAACCCGAAAGCCTTGACCAGGAAAGGATCGGCCTAGCCTTCCTGGCTGGCCGACGTACCAGGAAGGGAATTCAGGACCGCCCAGGTCTAGGTGTCCTGTTACCCACTGGGCCGCGGGAGTGCACCACCCGAAGCTGATCCGGAATGCCCGCTTCGCCGACATGCAATGCAGTCGCATGCATGCGAGTGCAAGTGCAAGTGCCTTATATTTCCCCGACACGTCGGAGAGATGAAAGCCAATGAGCATCAAGTTGGTACAAATCCATCTGTCAACGAATTAGCATAAGCACCCCGGTAGCAGGCGTTTGTCGTCGACGTCATCGGGCTTTGCGATGCACTCAGCTGTTGAGCCTATATGTCGTCGTCTGCCCCTCACTCTGGCAGGAAGGGCGGGCACCGCAGGTGAAATGTGTTCATTTTCGTTTCTGAGGTATCCATCATGGTTCTAAGTACATCGACCATAAATAAGTAGCGTGAGCATACTGAATCCCGTCCATGAACAACTATGTATGTGACCGTGCCCGGCGACCATGCCTGGGCTAATGCTTTGAACAAAGAAAGATTCCCGTCTAAGCAAACAATATGCACACATTGTGTACATACGTGTGTATCGAGAGACAGCTCTCAACCCACATTGATGGGGTGGCTTCGAGCTCAGAGCCTTGAGCTCAGCCTCGAGACCCACGTACGTATACAAATGCGCACACATGACCTTTTGTGTGCACAACATTATATAATAGAGACCACGGAATACAAGCTTTTTCATCCCAAACAGCACGTGATGACCCCCCCCCCCCCCCCCTCCTATCTCCATTCATGCATAAGGCTCTGGCAGTTTCCGTCTTCTTTTGAAAGTCTGGGCAAACCATGAAAATATTCAGCATAAAGGGAGCATGCTATATTTTCACATATTGTTGGATCTCACTTATTGTTCTCACTTCTTGTGATTTTCTCACTTCTCACTTATCGTACGAGTTAATCGGTACTACCAGAATTTCATAATTTCGGTTTAAAGTGCCACTTCTGAGGGAGAGATCTCATTGGACTTCCTGCTCACCACTCTGAAAACAATTAACTCTATTTGCCTTGCTTTTTCCAACGTGTTTTGTAATTTTTGCAACACAGTTATCTGTAAAAAAACATTAGTGTGTTAATAAGCGTATAAAAGTTTGAAACACTATAGCGAAAAGTACATGCAAACATAAGGCTTTATCCCGCAAATTCAACGAGGCGTAAAATTATGGCTTTTAGTTCTTCCCCATGGCGTTTACCACAGTGACCCTTTCCGAAGCACCATTTCGCTTTGGGAATGGAGCATCACGTGATCTATAGTGACGCACTGGTTGAAGCTTTAACCAATGCGCTGCTCGGCAACTGGTCGTTCAACACGCGCCCGGGTGGCCGGTTGGGTGCCCTTCGCTTGGATGGGGTGTCAATTTGATCCCCGAGATCTCAGGAGATAAGAGGGCTAGAGACGACACCAAATTCATAGGGTGTTCGACCTGTACGTAAACTCACTTAGGTCAAAGTTTGAGCCTCCTAGGTTATGGCCTTCAGGTTGAATAAGGTTGAACAAGATCAGACTCCAAGCTGGTCTCCAAAGTGTCCCCAGAACCTAGATACCTGTTCTAATCAAACGGTCACAAGCTTTTTCAAGGTAAGTGACCCTGTTGGACCTTTCGAAGGTCATGGTGACCAAAATCATAGAAGCCTGCTTTGAGTTCTGCATTTCCACGCGCGACAAAGATTAAGTTAGGCAGCATGTTCATAAAAATGATATGTTGACGTGGGTCATTTTATGTCAGTGACCTATTCGGACCTATAAGTTCATGAAGATGTATAATGAAGTTTATGTTATCAATACATTCTAAATTAGCAACAGAAACCACCCAAACAGCAAGCCCTATAATAAGAAAACAATTGATTTGACCCTGGTCTGACCTTTATGCCTGACCGTAGGTCAGTGGAATTTGATCATTCGATTGTTTTGCTGCCTAAGGAAGTATCTCAGAGATGTATGGGTTCGTCTAACACTCCGTTGTTCCATCAGATTGAAAGATTCCCTTGAAATTGACTTCGCTGAATCCATGGCCTGGATTTGACTTGTCGTAGGTCAGCGACCTTGCAAGGTACATCCAATTTTTTATTTCGCACGATTTGCTATTTAATTGCCTATAGCTACGCAAAATTTGGTGCGACTACGCCTCGCCGTTCAAAAGTGATTTCGAAAAAATTATCGGGGTCAATTTGACCCCCACCCAAGCGCGTGCGAAAGCCCGCATGCCCGACGTCTGGAGGTTAAAACAGCTCAAAAATGGTAGCTCCGACCCTTTACAGCTGACAACGACCCTCATGAGACCCTGACGTCGTCATGACTTCAGTTCGGCTTAAGGGACTCGTGGTTGAAATTGGCTTGGAGGTTCCGCCGTTCGGTACTGGGCTCCTGACTGCCACAGGGCTCTTACATCGTCTCAGCGTGAAATCACATTATAAGTCTGCAGGTTTCCTTTCGTTGTAAAGGTGCTCCGACCAGCGCAAGAGGCCTCTGACATTCGGGATCCCGTCTCCATCTCCGCTCAGCGAATTTTCCCCTGGTCGAATCGAGGCGCCTTGTTAAAACAGGACACTCTGTTAAGCACTGCGGGCCCCTGACTGACATCCTCATTGTTTCAGCGACCCGACTAATGGAAACCGTGGGCCCGGCCTTGCTCATGCTTAGCAAATGAGTCTGCAGGGCTCAAACCGACACGGAGCCGGCTGCTTGGTGTTGGTGGTCTATGGCCGAAATAGAGGCCTGCACTGTCCCACGCGCCCCCACTCGATGGAGAGGCCCTCTAACTGGCATTTGAAGCCGCAGCGGTACGGGCGGAGGCCGTCCTTTTTGTGACCTGTGGCCTGTCCTTCCGGCCCTGTGGCCCCTCCAGATTTCCAATCGGACTTTTGATCCTCGATCCTGGTAGCTCTTCTTCCTCTCTTCGGGTCTCCTCAGTTAAGCCTCGTGATGGGTTCATGACCACTTGCCGACACATGACCCTGTGTAAGGCACGGAGGGTCCGTGACCAACACAGGGGCCGGGATCCTTTAGATGACTGCCCCTGACAGATACAGCGGCCCAGACCAGTACATTTCGCTGGCCCGGGCTTTGCCGCTGCTTGGGAAGTGGACCCTTAAACCCATGCCGACACGGACCCGATAGTGCAGCACTGATGTTGCCTGACCGTTTTGGAGGCCCTTCTCGACTCAGAGGGTCCCCGATCGGCGCTAAAGGCCCTCTGGCTGACATCCGAGGGCCCGTCCACACAGAACGGGGTCCCTGAAGAAAACTCCGGCCAGCCATTCGTATCCTTAGGCACTACTATCGGGCCCATGATTACCAGTCTCAGTGGGCCCTCCAGGCTCTCTCCGGGTCTCCTCGAACACCTTCTCTCGCCCATTCAGGACCCTTGTCAATACAGGGTCCCCTGTTAGGTTCTGACCTCTGACAAACGCTGGGGCCTCGATTAATGTAGATCGCTGGCCACGGCCCTGTCCCTGGTTCGGAAATGGGCCATCAGGTCTTTGCGGCCACGGCGTCGACGGTGCGATACTGATGGTGCCTGACCGACATACAGGCCCTTACCGACTCAGCCCCCCCCCCCCCCGATCGACGCACAGGGCCCTCTGACTAACAATAGCGTGACCGACCCTGCGAGCCAGGGCCCCTGAACACCACCTCCACCTTGCCTTTTGGGTCATTCAGGCTCTCAAATTGGGTCCTTAATCATCGGTTCCGAGGGGTTCTTCGGCCACCCCGGGACCTAAAAGAGGGGGGAACGTGTCCCCTGTTCCCCCCCCCTCCCCTCCCCCCCCCCTGTCTGTGCCACAGGTCGCGACAACTTCAGCTGTTGCTTTCTCGGGATACAGCCCGGGGCTACCACGAAAGGTGTGTAGTGTAGTGCTGGTATAAAGCGTTTGCAGCGTAATTTTGAACAGACAAAATCAAAATTCGTATCCTTATTTAATATAAATGGTGGTAAAGGGACACTACCCAGCATTATTACTAGGTTAAATGATTCTGAGGTTTCACCAGAGTACGTTTTTTGGAGCCTTACCGAAAGATGGGACACTTCCTTTCAGTGCTGGCATTGGAAGAAAATTGCATGTGTGGGAACATCAAAACAAAGTAGTTCGAAAATATGTAATTGACACCGCCATCCTTGACTCGTGAACAAAAGTGGGATAGCCAGCTGTCGACAGATGCCAGCTGTATCACAAATCACCTTTATTTGCACTGAACACACAGGAGACAGGAAATGACGCCGCTGACTGTCGCGCAGTCCACGGCCCCTTGGACGGATGCGATTCTACGGCGGATTGAAGGTGACCTTGCGTCGACCTGTTGAGTGGTGCCGGGGGCCACGCGGTCGGCTGGAGCGGACCATGATGCGGTGG